ATTTTTTTTTTTTTTTTTTTTTTTTTTTTAATTAAACATTACACTCCTTTCTTTTACTTTATAAAACTTATAAATAGCAGTATATATCTGCAATTTGAAATTTTAAATAAAATATTAAGGTAATATTTAAAATACGAATTAAAATAATTTATATATATTTATATGTAATAAAAAAATTTATTTTATTATGGTAAATTTATTAAATTCGTTGCAAGATAAGCTCAGAAAAGAAAGAACAAATGATAAATTAATTTTAAAACAATGTAATTTTGATATAATTGAAAATTTTGAAGATACTTCTAGTGATGAAAAAGTAAATTCTATAGAAAATAAAGATTATAAAATAAGTTTTAATGAAGAAACTGAAAATAAAATACATAATTACAAAATAAGTTTTAATGAAGAAAATGAAAATAAAATACATAATTACAAAATAAGTAATAAGGAACATATTAATTTAGGTAGTTTAAAAAATGAACATAACATTGGTTTTCCTTTAGCTTTACACAGAACGAAATTAAATTTACAAAAAAATAATGTAAATGAAAAATTAGACTTAAAAAAAATATATGAAACTAATTTATTGAAAAAGGATAGTAATAAGGGATATGATAAATCAAGTATTTATAATGAGTTAAATTCAGATAACAATGAAAATAATAATAGGCATAATAAAAAAGGAAATTTGCAAGAAAATAAAATAAAAGAGAAGGATGAAATAAATGATTCAAAAAAAAAATATAATCTAACATTCCAATTAAATAAAAATGAAGTAGCTAAACTTCAATGGACAAATCCAGTAAATGATGACGAAATAAGAGAAATAAAAAACTTAAGTGAAATAAAATTACATGAAATACGTTTCGATTTTTTAGGAAAATTAAGAATACAAATAAATGAAAATTTAATTAATAAAAAAAAAAAAAAAAAAATTTATGATAATTTTGATGGATTATATCATCATAATGATGAACCACTTAATAGTGGTTACACATTTCCAGAAATTTTATATTTATGCCAAAGTTCATATAATAATCAAATATGTATATCATTAAAAATTCTTAAAAATATATTTATAAATTTACATTTAAAAATAATTATTATTAGCAAAAATTTTGAACATCTTTTAAATAATGTAAAAGACAAATACTGTTATGGATTTACATTTAGGAGATTTTTTAATTTTTTAAATAATGATTTAAAAATATTTAAAAAGTTATTCATAATATTCAATTATCATTGCAATGTAAATGTTGAAATAAATTGCCTTCATTCATTCGCAAGTTATTTATATCCTAATAATGTTTTAGAATTAGTACAAAATGTAATATACGATCAGGATAATGATTCAAAAAAATTTAATTATTTAAATGATTATGAATTTTTTTCTTACTGTGATTTTTTTAGTGATAATCTATTTCTTTTTGAAGATTACAATATATATTTTTATTCTATCAAAAAACAAAAAAATTCTCAAAATAATTTTTCTAATTACAATAAAAGTAATGAAGGAGAAACAGCATATAATAATGATATAGAAAAAGAAAAAGAAAATGAAAAAGATGAAAAAGATGAAGAAGATGAACAAGATGAACAAGATAAAGAAGATGAAGAAGATGAAGAAGATGAAGAAGATGAAGAATATGAAGAAGACAAAGAAGATGAAGAAGATAAGGAAGATGAAGAAAAAACAGGAAATGAAAAAATTAAAAAAAAAGAAGATAATGAAAATAATTATTTTAATATAAATAAAAATAATTTGACGAATTTTAATGATGAAAAATTAAATTATTCATATTTTTTTAATAAATATAAAGAAAATGAATTGATATTAAAATATGAAAAAGATGAAAAAATAATAAAAAAGTGTAAAAAAGTTACAAAAAACACAAACGGAACAAATGGAACAAATGGAACAAAAGAAAATAAAGTGAATAAAGAACAAAATAATAAAAGTATATTCATGAATCATGAGTTAATAACTATTTTTGAATATATAAATAAAGCTAAATATGATTTTTTAAAAATAAGAAATATAAATTTTAAAATGATTAGTTTATGCCATTCAAAAAAATACTATTATAAAAAAATTCTTAATAATGTATCAAAAATTTTATCAAATAATTTTGGTAATATTGAGATAGAAAATAGTTGTATATGTTTTTTAATAGGATTATTATTTAAAAAAAAACAAAAAATAAATATATTGAAAAATAAAAAACTGATAAAAAATTTAGAAAAAATATATGATTCTAAGATAACTGGTAGTAAACTAAACAATGAAAGATTAAAAAAAGCAAGCGAAGAAAACATAGATAAAAATTACTGTGATACAAATTTCACATACAATTTAATTACACTAATTAGATATATTATTATTTATAACTATGAGAAAGATATTTTAAAAAAATTCGATGTATTGTCTTTTTTACTATTTTATAGAACCCTACCATTTAGCAAAGAGAAGAAAAATAAGGAAACATATTTTTTTTTAGCTACCGAGTCATTGAAAATATTTAGAATTTTAGTTTACTGCAATTTATATATAGAATCAGTGGATTATTTTCATGATTTAATTAATGAAATTCATGAAAGAAATATGAAAAACTCCTTAATTTGTAAAAGATTTTTATGTCAAGTATATTTATATATTTCTGCACATAATACAATATATACTAATATTGAGTTATCTGGTTTTTTATATATGAATAAAGTTATTAAAACTTTAGAAATTCAACTACATAATAATTTTCATATAAGTGATGATGATAAGAATGAAATAAGCATTCTTAATATGAAAAATAATAATACTTGTTATTATACTGATGGAATTAAATGCAATATGAAAAGAGGAAAGGAAGATTTATTAAATATAGAAACGGAAATAAAAATAGAGAAAACAAAGAAGAAATATGATTTTAATTATCTGTGTGATTTAGAACTAATAAATCAATGTTGTATTTATTTTTATTCTGTTTTTTTATATATTAAAAAAAAAGGTAATAAGCAATGTATAAGTAATGATCAAATAAACAAAATAATGAGAATTATAGAAAAATTATCACAAGTAATTACAGAAGAATTTAATGATTTCTTAAGTGAATATAAAAATGGCAATAATAGCAACTTAATTATAAGTATAATAAATCAATTAAAAGATTGTCCTTTTCCTTTTAATTATATCATTTATGAAAATAATATTGATTTACATCTCTTTTTTATTATTTATATACAAATTCTAAATATAATTTTAAATATATATTTTTTTTATGAGCAAATTGAAAAAATTAGAATAGAATCTATTGAAAACATTTATATTCAATTTGATAGAGATACTTTAAAATATTTTAAAAGTGATATTTTTGAAGTAGAAAATATTTTAGATTCTTATAATATTTTCTTGCCATTATCATATTTGTTTTATAATTTATTTAAAATTAATAATAATGATATCAAAAATGTAGAGTTACTATTTTATTCGTTATGCTATTGTTCCTCTCTTTCTCTCAGTTGTTTTTGCTTAAAAGAGAATTTTACCCAATTATATAATACCACTAGTAGTAATAATAGAATATATAATAATAACTTTTTAAATAATTCTGAGCACAATGTTAGTATTATGGATGATCTGAAAAATTTTAACATAAATGATGAGTTTCACAGAGTTAAAGAATATACTTATAACACAAACAATTTTAATAATAATAATAATAATAATAATAATAATAATAGTAATAATGTTTATATGGAAATTTATGATGAAAATAATAAATTAATAAATGAAACTGAGAGTAAATATGATAATATTGACAATAATATATATATATTGTTATTTTTACAAAAATATTTAAAAGGTAAATTTTTAATTTATCATAGCAAAAAAAATATTTTTATATTACTTTTGAAAAATGTTTTTAAAGAATGTAAAAGAAAAATAGATAATGTAATAAAAGAAGATGAACTAATAATAAGTAAAGTTTTAAAATTATTTTTAAATAATTATATTATTGACTTTTTTTCAAAAAATATGAAAGTATCTATGTTTGTTAAAATATTCATTCAAATTTTTATTGTGAACTGTTCTAAATTAATTGGAGATTATTTAATGGAAAAAAAAAATATATATTCTGATTTAGTAAATATAGCAGAATTATATATATTTAACAAATTAAATTATTTAAATACCAATAAAAATGATAGTTTATATAAAGAAAAAAAAACAGATTTAGAAAAAATACAAAATATCATTGATGAATTTGTAAGGAAAGAAATTCAAGAAAAAAAATACCCTTTTGAAAATATATTAGACAACTTTGAAAAAAACAAAAAAAATATAAATATATATATGATACCAAAAAAGTTAGAAATTAGCAAAAATTTAGCTATAATAATATATGAGAAAATTATAGAATCTTTTAAAATGGCTAATTTTTGTAACCCTTTATTTCTATCTATTTTACTTTTTTTTTCTTCATCTTTTTTTCCTTTGGAATGCAGTAATTTATTATTCAATGATATTGATTTAATAAAAATCTTATGTAAAAATATATATATTCATTTTTATGATAATCTAAATTATATCATATTTACTAAATCTACTTATTATGGAAAAGAAGAAAACAACTATATAATTGATATCACAAATTTATTCCCTTCTCTTTCTTCATTTATATTAGATACTACTGAAATTAAATTAAATGATAATTTAAAAAATTATTTTCAAACTATTCAATTAGAACATTCTCATATTAGTTTTCTATATTTCATATTATATGTCAAAAATAAGTTTAATTAAATAACAAAAAAATATTTTTTTAAAGAAAAATCTTTTAATATTTTTGTATTTGGAAATATTTTTCTTTTTTTTTTTTTTTTTTTTTTTTTTTTACTTAAAATATATAAAACATTTTAAATATACATTTGTATTTATATAAAGAATTTAATTAAATATTATTCATGAAATGAAGATTGTATCTTTTTATATTCTCAAAATATACAAAATGCGCTTCTCTTTTATGTATTTAATATACCAAATTTTTCGTTGATACTTTTTTTTTTATTCTATCCTTATAAAAGAAAAAAAGTAAAAAAAATACATATATATATTTGTGTGTAAATGTTCTACATTATATTTCCAGTTTTTATAATATCACTTAATTGTATTTTTATTAAGATGAGTATTTTTATTATTATTTATTTTCATGTATATCCATGTACAATTTTTTTTTTTTTTTTTTTTTTTAATCATTACAAAATAATTTTAATAAATTTTGAAAATTTTTAAAAAAGTGTTAAAAAAATTTTAATAATATATAATATTATCAATAGGTATTTTTCTTATTCTCAAAATTAATAATGTAATTTAAAAAAAAAAAAATGTTATAATATTTTATGGTTTATTGATTTTATATATTCTAATTGAAATTATTTTATTACAAAAAGAAAAACACATTATATGTATATTTGGAATATATAGAAATAAAAAAAAAAAAAGAAAAAATTAATAAGCTGTATATAAAAAATAAATAGTACATAAAATGATATACTTTAATAAATAAATTTTAACTATTTAAATTAAAAGGAAATTAAAATATTTTTAATTCTAAAAAAAAAAAAAAAATAATTAATTTTAACAAAAACAAAAATATGCATTTTACATTATTTCACGAAGAAAGCTATTTGTATATATAAATATTTTTCTTTTTTCTTTTGTTTTAATAAAATATATACAAAAATTAGTCAAGAATAATTTATAAAAATAATAAGAAATGGCAACTTATAATGTATTAGGAGAATTAACAACATTCAATGAAGATGAAACAGTAATTTCACATCAGTATTCAAGAATAAGAAAAATTGAAAATATTGAAAAATGTAAAAAGCTAAAAGTTAGTATAAATGATTTATTTTATATATTATTTTTTTTTAACATATTTTGCTTTTTTATATATCCAAGATCATTATTTATTTTTTTGTTAATTCTTTCTATACATTTACAACTGACAAAAATTTATCTAATAGAAATAAAATCATATAAAGTTATGTATTCTTCAATTATTTATTAATTTTTTTTTTTTTTTTTTTTCTATAAATAGGCTTTGTTATTGATATCTAATTGTATTGATAAAATAGAAAATTTAGAAAATAATTTAGAATTAGAACATTTAGAATTATATGAAAATATGATAAAAAAAATAGAAAATATAGCAATGCTAACAAAATTAAAGTAAATATTTTTATATAATATATACAATTGCAAATTTTGACAAACTTTTTTTTTTTTTTTTTCCTATTTATATAGAATCTTAGATTTGTCATTTAATAAAATAAAAATTATAGAAAATTTAGGAACATTAGTAAATTTAGAAGAGCTATATTTGTCTAGTAACAAAATTTCAAAAGTAAAAATTTATTAAAAAAAAAAAATTTGCATATGAAAATACATAATTTCTTTAATTTTATCACATCTTTGAATTACTATGTATAATATTTCATTACCTTTTTTTAATAAATATATCTTATAACTATTAAAAATATATTTTTATTCTTCTTATTAAAAAATAAAATAAATTTTATTTGGAATACAAGAAATATATATAAATATATATATATAAATATATATATATAAATATATATATATAAATATATATAAATATATATATATAAATATATATATGTAAATATATATATATATATATATATATTTAATTATATATAATAACATTTTATTTAACTATTTACATAATTTATTTTATTGAATTAATTTTTTTTTTTTTTTTTTTTATGTGTTTTCATTTATTTTTTAAAATAGATTGAAAATTTAGAGAATTGCAGAAAATTAAGATTATTAGAATTAGGTTATAATAAAATCCGAAAAATTGAAAATTTAGAAAATTTAGTTAATTTAGAAGAATTATGGTTAGGTAAAAATAAAATAGAAGAAATGAATATACCTTTATTACCTAAATTAAATAAGTTAAGTTTACAGCATAATAGGTTAACAAAATGGTGTGAAAAATCTATTAATAATATTCTATCAATAAATGAATTATATTTAAGTTATAATAAATTAAATTGTATTATAGATAATGTGAAAAACCTAAAAAATTTAAAAGTTTTAGATTTATCATACAATGAAATAGATAACATTTTTATATGTTCAGAATTAAAATCTTTAGATGAGTTGTGGTTAAATAATAACAAAATTAATGATTTAAAAATGATTGAAAATTTAAATGAAAATAAAAATTTAAAAACATTATACCTAGAAAAAAACCCAATTGAAGAAAAATTAGAAAAGAATTATAGACAAAAAGTGATTAACATTTTGCCTCAATTAAAGCAATTAGATGCATTACCAATTACACCATTAAATATATCACAAAAAAATTAAAATTACTAAATTCATATATTATTAATAAAAAATATATAATAAAATATCAATAATAATAAATTAATACATATATATATATAATATAATTAAAAAAAAAATAATTTTTTAAATAAAAAAAGTAATAAGGATTACAAATGTTTGATGAACGCAAAATTTTTTATTTCAAAAAAAAAAAAAAAATAAAAACAATAATATTAATAAAAATTTATAGATTACATAATGATTTGTGTATTTTGTAAATATTCATGTAAAAATTCCCAATTTAGAATAATTTGCAATTACTAAAAAAATAAAGTTAATTTTGCATTTATATACATATTAACATATTATTTTAAGGTGTATCTGTATATTCCTTTATATATATATATATCATTTTCAATATTTTATTAAAAACCTTATGTATACAATCTTTGTGCGTATATATATTTTTTTTTTTTTTTTTTTTTTTTTTTTC